TCAGCTTTCATACGCATCTTTTGGCTTCATTCTATCTATTATAGTTATCGAGAAAATCAATGAAATGTGAAAACACTGCTTTTTCGAATATTAAAGATAAGAACTAATTGAAAGAATGAGCGGGTAAATTGTAATGTAAAGTTTATGGAAATAGGAAGAAAGTGCGAATGGTGTAATGATACTAGACCTAAATATTACGATGCAATGAGATGGTTTATAAGTTGAAAGCGAGTACGAAAGCATTGAACCATTGCAATTAGCGTTCAGGAAGGAGCGATGAAAGGCGATGGCGCGCGTTCAACTTCAAAAAAAATATTTGCAAGAAAGCGTTTCTTGAATAATATCTCGAAGGATGAAAAATCAACAAACTTTTCGTCTGCTGAAGATGCGTTTATCTGTAATCGGATTATAATGCGATAACTATAGTAAAATGAATAGTGTTAAGACATACCGGAAAGAAAAGCGCGCAATTATACTGGATTACCGCACATTTCTTGTTTATTGTTGCAGTGAGGATAAGGATAGTCGGGATATTCGGATAATGTGAAGCGAGTGAGAGTGTTTGCGTTCGCTGCGAGCAGGTGTGTGGAGGGAGGGAGTAGCGAGTAATGAAAAAAGTAAATAATAATAATACAGTACAGAGAGGGATTTGTTCTTCGGGCCGAAGAGAAAGTGCGGTGTTGAGGGTTCACGCGACAATGGTGGTACCTCCTCTCAGTTGGGTTCCGGCACACAACCCAAGCAACAACATGTCGAGGATCACGTTGGCCGTGGCGACGCTCGTCATCATCAGCGTCGCGACGCCCCAGGTGGCAACAGCAGCATCATCATCTTCGAACGGAACGGTGGTCGCCCTCTCCAGGGCTTTGGACTTTTACAACACCGAACTTCTCGCGTCCAATTGGAACCACCTGAGAACCGCACTGAGCGACGAATGTTCCAACGATGTCGAGCAGTACGTGAGGGCCCTCGAGGTCCAAGAGAATTGGGCCCTGAAGAGTGAGTAGATCATTTTTCTTTTCTTTTCCTTTCTTCAATCCTGAACCCGGCAGTCGCAATTGCGTAACACTTTCATCTCACGTTAAACTTAAACGCGCACTTTCACCCGGTAATCGCACTCCGTCCGTGTCCGCGCTCAATCAATTAACAAACCTTGGTCCAACAATACGATTCTTCGGCAAACATATTAAAAATCGCGCCCTTGACATCGCTAATCCACTAATGACTTATTCAAATTTTTATTGTTACTTTTTGTATCTATCTACAATTTTGTATTTCTTTTTGGTTACTTTAGAGGAGCGCCCGACTTTTATTTACACTAAATCACTAAACGGAATGAAATTATCGAATAACATTTGCTTTTCGCATCACGTAGCAATAAAACAAGAAGCGTCGTCGTCATCGTCGTCTTTGATGCATACGACCACATTTGGTCGTTCTTTGACTTTCCTACGATTTCTTGAATCGAAAATTAAGGAACGCTTTCCAAAAAAAATACACGTGTCTTATTGAATTCAAGACAATCTTAATACGGCCCTGTATCAATCAAAAGGATTTTCAGAGTATTCTAAGGAAGAAAACTGTTATTAACGAGCATCCTATAAAACAAAACAAGACAAAACAAATACGATAATGAACCTAGCTTCATTTGTTACGAGCGTGTTACGGCTCCTAGATTTGGGAACCTCATTACCTTAATAGTTAAGCTGACACTGCATTTCACCGCTTTTAACTAATCCAAACGCAAAACTCTTGTTTTTCCCTACTTCTTTAACTCTTTAATCTTAAAGATTTGTATAAGACTCAGAAAATTCCTATATATTTTTCCACCAGTATAAAAATATGTAATCAGAGATTCCCCTTACAACAACTACTTCTACTCTATATTTAAGCAACATAATAAAAGTCTATTTAATAATAATAAAAGTCTATGATTCTTATAATAATGACGTAAACCGAAGCATTAATTTCAATCTCAAAAAACTATCACTTTCTTTAACATTCATTAAAATACATAAGATTGTTATAAAATTGAGACCTTGAAGGGTTTAACAGTACACATTTTTTTTTATTGGAATGCGAAACGAGTGCAATTCGTATGCATATGTTATACGACGTAGACAAAAAGAGAAAAAAAAACAATACGTAACAAATGTTTCAAAGAAGTGATAATGCAATGCACACTTGTTTTTCTTTTCTTTTATTATTTCTGTATGCTCGCATTCCTTCTCATCTGACCAATCGAATCGAATTTTAAAAAATGATCCGACTTTGGATCACGTAATTTCTCCGTTACTTTAGAGTCTTCAAGTAAACCCATTAAATATTAATACGAAACGAACATAAAAAAAAACTAATTTACAATTTAACTTAATAATAGATTAAATCGAGTAGCAATAAATAATCATTCTTCTTTGAAACATTAATTTTAGAGACAAATTAAATTTTTCATAAATTTTACATACTGATACGTTCTTTCGTATTATTTATACTTTAACTAATCTTATTTAGATTCGTTTTGAGTTTATTACTCGCATAGTTAATTCGATTTGTAAGCATTAGAAATTTTTGTAAAAAAAAATAAATAATTGTAATATGAATGCGGTGAAGTGAAATTTCGTCTGAATCGCAAACGAATTAAACGTCGTAATTCGCACTAATTTTCGTTGTCAAGGTAACTTTCTTCCGAATTCTAACAACAGAATAACGGAGACGCAACAACAATAACAACAGAATAAAAAAAAAAGAGACGGACGAAGCAAAACAAAACAACGAACTTTCAAATTTATGAATCACGCTGTCGTTGCATTCGTGTTCTTGCTTCGTCCATCAATTAAATAACTGTTCTTCTAATTGAATCGTTACGAATGTATTAATAATTTATTAAGTAATTATAAAACGTTTCGAAATATTTGATTCATATAAATAATATATAACAAATCCGTTATATTAGTGATGTCTCGTTAAACGACAATTCCGTTTGGACGAGAAGTGCCAATAAAACGAGTCTATAAAGAAATGAAATGTCTCGTACGGATGGAAAAATAAAAATTTTCGTAATCGATGATAAAATTACATCACTTTTTTCTTTCTTCCTTTCAATTATTGCGTATTTAAACTTATTAAATATTCTTAGAACTAGATTATGTAGATTCATCTGTTTTTGTTTTCCTTTCAACTTATATTATTTTAACAAATGAAATATTGCATCAAAACGTTAATTAACTTGTTTATTTTCTGAAAACCAGTTTGCGTAGATTCATCCGTTATTTTGTTTTTAATTGTAGCCAACTTACGATAAACTAAATATTACTACCAAATTGTTGCTAAACAAATGAATATCAAGTTAAAACTGTCATGTTGACATAACTCGAGTTGATGGTAACCCATGACAACTAACAACATGTTATACTAAGCAGCAGTCAAAAGAAACTTTTTGTTTTGCAACAAATAATTGGTAAATCGATCGATTTATTAATTGTCGAAAGCGATGAATTCTAATTAATTGTTCATCGAGCCGGACCTGATTTGGGACACAACATCAACAACACGTATACACTTATATATATATATATAAATTTTGGGCGGATTGAGCAAACGCTTACGTGTTGCGAGCGGCCGGAAGGTAAGTTTCGTGCGTCAAGAATTTTTCGTTTTCGTTTTCCCGCGAATTAATTAGTGAAATGAGAGTAGTTTAGTTGTAATAAATTAAAACTGTTCCCGCCGCTTTTGCGAAACTTTCTTCTCGAAAATCATTTTCTATTTGAACGACACATTCATACACACACACGCACGTTCTTCATTTATCTCATTGAAGCAAAGTGGACAAATCACCTCACATTTTACCTTAGTTAAGTAATTAAACATTACACCAAATTCTCAATTTAATTACTAATCAATTTCAGTTTTCTTATGTAATAATTACGTAACAATTTTTTGAATTTTCAAATTTTAAAAGTTGTACATTTTTATAAATATTAAACATTAACAATCAATTTTCCTTTACTAATTGTAACTTAAGTTAGGTTATGATTACGTAATATATCATAAAATCATTAAAAAATAAGATAAGTTATTAAAACAAAATCAATTTTGACATTACAAAGGTAATTTGATTAACACCAATTAGATGTACGAAGAACGTTATTAAAAAATTGGACACACAATTCGATAAATTATTAAAACAAAATACATTTTGACATTTCAAGGGTAATTTGATTAACACCAATTAGATGAACGAGGAACGTTATTCCCATTAAGACAGAATGAACTTAATTAGTTGGAGATTTAAAAACTGGTTCAAGTTTGTCTCTCGCGTTAAACTCAATATTTTTTTGTATATTTCATGAAGTTGTGCAAATGAACAGTTAGAAATTCACGAATGTGTCTCTCCTCGTCGTTAGTACGTTTCGGGCGATAAATGAAAAAGCAAACAGACACAGTTCTTCGCACAGAACAATCGTAAATAATACAACTACACACACAAAAAACGAAATACCATACGAAATTTCTAAACCATTTTTTTTTTAATATTTCAAACGCGAGACTTGCGCAAGAGTTTCACCGCAAAGATTTTCCTTATGGAAAGCCCATCATCATCATTATCGATAATACACGTATATTTCTTTGAATTGTTTCCCAATCGCTTTATTGTTATTACCGAATATCGAAAGAGTCGTGTTGGATTGAGTTGCAGCCGACGCAAGGTGAAAGAAATGCACGGACGTTGCGCCACGTTACGTCCGATTTCGACCTAGCCAATGAACTTCATTAATGAAATTTCCGAACGTTACCATAGAAACCAACCAAAAACAATATATTGAAAATAACATAAGACGAACTGGTATTTTGATTAATCGTCGTGCAATAATTTCCAATTATATAGGAAAATTTTGTATTCATAAGCGATTATATAATTGAGGTGCGATCAATGAGAACGAAACACTCGTTCGAACCCCTCCGTTTCGGTGGAAAAACCAGTCGCGTTGCGTAATTGGAGAGAACTTTCTTTGCGGTTCTTGGACACACTGGCATAGCATTATTATTCAATTGTTCTTCCTTCTTTTCAATCAGTTTTTCAAACACATTTCGAATTATTTACTATTTCCATCTAATTAATAATAATCACATACGAAACTTTCTTTACATATACACTTGTTGCTTTAATCAAGATCCATAATTTACGATTTATGTAATATTTACTATTTGTAACAAAATTCCTAACAGAAAATGCCAATAATTCAAGAGTCTACGTAGATTTACTAATTTAAACTTGAAAATCAATTAGGACAATTTTGTATATTCAACGAGTTTTCTGTACTTTTTCAAACATTTTACTATGATATTTCTTTTGATCAACGCGGATTTTCTAATCTAAATTTCACATTTTACAGTAATTTATCTTAGGTTCATTAGAAATGTACGCCTGTTAGTTAAAATATTCATGATTTATAAATATGAAAGTAATAACTTTTCTAATCTAAATTTAAGGAAGCTGTAAACTTGGTCTCACGCCACTTTGAGAGCAACAAAATATTACCTAATAAATCTCTTGCACTTTTGCGAATGCAGTTTACTGTTGTCGAGAAACGAATGTAGAAATGCAAAGAGACGACGTTGCGCAACCGAAACGCACGCGGAAATTCGCGCGAGTGCATTTTCTTGCTCCGCAAATGTATACAAACAAACAAACATAAAGATGATGCAACAAGGTTTTGGATGAAAATTTAGTTTTCTGGAGATGAGGGCTAAAACGCTTTATTCACCATAAATTCCGATGCGCCGTTGCACTTGTTACCCAATAAAACCGAAGAACTTTCTCCTGGTAATGACGCGTTTACATATCAATACATCCGAATGGAAATAAATAAAAAAAATCTTTCGACTCATTTCCGCGATATTATTTATTACGAGCGACTTCGTTTCGCCGCGTTTGGAGCCGATTTCCGGGGAAACTGTGTAAAGCGAGAGAACACGTTGCATATAAAGTAGTACTCAAGCACTGAAAGTTCAAAGACGTAATGGAAACACCGAAAAATATGATTTTGATCGTCATCAAATTTTACTACTCAATTTCATCATCCATCATCGATCTGTTACATGTTTCACCGATTTAATTGAGATAGACGTATGCATAATAAACGATGTATTCGCACACGTTTCATGTTTGGGTGGAAATGCATTAATCCATTATTCAAATCATCGCGTAACATTTCACAAACTATACACATTGTATTCATTTTAAACATAATTATTTAATCTCATTCAAAGAATGAAAACACTTTACTAGTTTTTGAAACTTTTAACAAAAAAAAAATCCAAATTACATTCTAAATTTTATACAAATTAAATGATTTTAATTGGTAATTACTTCAATTTAAACAGCAACATTTCTTGGAAACATTACACTTTCTACCTTATTTTTTTTTTGTTAACTAACATCTATTTTTTTAATGAAACTTTCCCCAAAAGAAAAAAGACAAAGTAACCTATTATTTCTTAAAACAAGAAAACACGCTTCTGAATTGCGTAACGAAGTGAGTTTCCGAAAAGCGTCGCTTGGGGAAACAAGTGAAATGAGTATTTAAGTAAACAGTTGCAAAAAAAAAAAAAAATCGCATAGTTTGGGCATTCGAAACAAACGCAATTTCCGGTATTCTAATATGACGTTTCGTAACGTTATCGTTGTTTGGTTATGAAAAAAAAAACGGAAAGAAGTCTTAAGATATTGAAAATGATGTAAGCAAAGAAAAAATTGTTTGATTGTTTGTTCTTATTTGTTTTCCAAGGTAACGTTCATGATTATATATATATATATATTTTTTTTTTCAAATGGAAATTTGCATATTGTTATTATTATAGGTTATTTCATTCACTTTCATTATAATAAATTAAAAAGGAAATACCGTTATTGAAAATATCAACTATTGTTTTTATTTTTTAATTCGTTGAATTCGAATCACTTTTGAAATGAATTATAGGTAATTGTTATGTTACGTAACTTGTTATGAATTTATAAGGTAATAGTGGGAAATTAATGCACTCACTGGTTGTCGTTTCGAATGATGAAATTGCATCCGGCTACAAAACTTTACTTTGACAGCTATACAGAATATAGAAGAGAGAAAAAAACAATTATTTGAAGCATGTCTCCATGGTGATGTAATATCATTCATGTAAGATGGTTAATACAAATTTAAATGGTTGGTATTAGTTGAATTTGCGTAGATTACAAGTTGCGACTTTTGATTTTGGAAAGAAGTGAAGAATGAAATAAATGGAATTAAAGGTAATTAATGTTAAAAAAGTGACGAATTTATGTAAATGGGAATAAACACTTACGTTTCCAATGATGAAATTGCATCCGGCTACAAAACTTTACTTTGACAGCTATACAGAATAAAGAAGAAAAAAACAATTGTTTGAGGCATGTCTCCATGGTGATGTAATTTCATTCATGTAAGATGGTTAATACAAATTTAAATGGTTGGTATTAGTTGAATTTGCGGAGATTACAACTTGTGACTTTTGCACTTTTTGAAAAGAAGTGAAGAATGAAATAAATGGAATTAAAGGTATTAATTGTTAAATAAGTGACGAATTTATGTAAATGGGAATAAACACTTACGTTTCCAATGATGAAATTGCATCCGGCTACAAAACTTTACTTTGACAGCTATACAGAATAAAGAGAAGAAAACAACAATTATTTGAGGCTTGTCTCCATGGTGATGTAATTTCATTCATGTAAGATGGTTAATGCAAATTTAAATGGTTGGCATTAGTTGAATTTGCGTAGATTACAATTTGTGACTTTTGCACTTTTTGGAAAGATGGGAAGAATGAAATAAATAGAATTAAAGGTAATTATTGTTAAATAAGTGACAAATTTATGTAAATGGTTATAAATACTTACGTTTCGAATGATGAAATTGCATCCGGCTACAAAATTTGACTTTGACAGCTATGCAGAATAAGGAGAAGAAAAAAAAAACATTTATTTGAGGCATGTCTCCATGGTGATGTAATTTCATTCATGTAAGATGGTTAATACAAATTTAAATGGTTGGTTTTAGTTGAATTTTCGGAGATTACAACTTGTGACTTTTAATTTTGGAAAGATGTGAAGAATGAAATAAATGGAATTAAAGGTAATAATTGTTAAATAGGGGACTGATAAGGGACTTACGTTTCGAATGATGAAATTGCATCCGGCTCCAAAACTTTACTTTGACAGCTATACAGAATAAAGAGAGAAAAAAACAATAATTTGAGGCATGTCTCCATGGTGATGTAATTTCATTCATGTAAGATGGTTAATACAAATTTAAATGGTTGGTATTAGTTGACTTTGCGGTGATTACAACTTGTGACTTTTGATTTTGGAAAGATGTGAAGAATGAAATAAATGGAATTAAAGGTAATAATTGTTAAATAAGGGACTGATAAGGGACTTACGTTTCGAATGATGAAATTGCACCCGGCTACAAAACTTTACTTTGACAGCTATGCAGAATAAAGAAGAAGAAAAAAACAATTATTTGAAGCATGTCTCCATGGTGATGTAATATCATTCATGTAAGATGGTTAATACAAATTTAAATGGTTGGTATTAGTTGAATTTGCGGTGATTACAACTTCTAACTTTTGATTTTGGAAAGAAGTAAAGAATGAAATAAATGGAATTAAGAGTAATTATTGTTAAATAAGGGACTTGATTTACGTAAATTATAAACACTTACGTTTCCAATGATGAAATTGCATCCGGCTACAAAACTTTACTTTGACAGCTATGCAGAATAAAGAAGAGAAAAAAAAACAATTATTTGAGGCATGTCTCCATGGTGATGTAATTTAATTCATGTAAGATGGATAATACACATTTCAATGGTTGGTATTAGTTGAATTTGTGACTTTTGATTTTGGAAAGATGCGAAGAATGAAATAAATGGAATTAAAGGTAATTATTGTTAAATAAGTGACGAATTTATGTAAATTATGATGTTTGGGAATAAACACTTACGTTTCGAATGATGAAACAGTAGCGGGTAATGAAAATTAATACTGACAGTTCGTACATTTATGACTTTTGTTTGATGTTTCCATGACAATATATTTAATTTGTTAATTCCTAAAGAATGTTTGATTTTTTTTTATATCTTTTTTTTTTTAAATGAATATTATTTGATTATAGTGGATGATGCGAGCGGAAGATATTCAACAGGATGGTTCTGGGGAAATCATTACTGGACTGGATCGAAGAGTCTGTGCGAGAACATCGTTCCGAGCAACCGCAGTTTATCAGAGGTAAGCAGCGGTTTCTTCGCCGAAGACTTCTTGCAAATTCATTGACAATCCGCAGAGCAATCAGAACGCGAGAGTGCAGCGAAACGTGGAGGCCATGACCAAGCTGACGAATCCGGGCCAATCGGGAGGTTACGTTTCCGGGAAGCTGTCCTACCGTTCACTGCCACCCTTCGACGTGTCCTTCTACATGCTTCGCGTCTTCATCAATTCCACGTACACGAAAGAAGTGAGTTGTTTGGAAACAACTTGATTTAGAAAGTAATAAACTTTTTTTTTTTAGACTCGAACCCTGCACGTCGGATTGTGTTTACCGAAGACGTGCACGGACGTGGACGTCCGCAACATCTTGGAGAAAACATCCGAAGCGGCTCCCATCGAGATGATACAGATTCGCGTCGAGGAAGTCAGATCTCCTCACAGCCGTTTCAACCTTTGGCAGGACACAACTTTTAGGATTCTCTGGTAAATGTCTTCTATTACAATTGATTAACAATTATTAAAAAAAACAACATTTTTTTAGCGTCGTAACAGCCATAGTTGTCGTTCTTTTGGTGATCGGAACGCTCTTCGATCTTTACTTGAAGCACCGGGAGGAAACTAAGCAAGTGTTGAAACTGAATTGCGCGACTTACACCAATCCGAATCACAAGTTAAGCGAGAAAACCATCACTTTGGATATGACAGCCACCGAACCAAACGCTGGTATTAAATATACAAAATTGTTATTTTTTTTACTAATTGTTAATTTATTTTTTAAGGTAAATGTAGTTTATACGTGGTTAATAACAACAACAACAATAATTTGGCAGCAAACGAAACTCGAACTGGTGAAGATGAATCATTGATTGGTAAGATTCTCATTAACTTGTGAATATGTTATTTAATACTTTGTGTCTTTTCTAGTGACCATACTCAAAGACTTAATCCTCGCGTTCTCGGTGAGGGTCAATGTTAAGCATATCTGCGACAGAAGCGTTGGAAGTGATACGATCTCCGTAATCCACGGTCTTAAGTCCATAAGTATGGCTTGGGTCATCCTTGGACACACTTGTCTAATCGCTTTCAAATATTCCGGTAAAAGCTCTTTTTTTTTTTTTTTTAAATATTTTTTAAGTAGGATTTATTGAATTCTATTCTGTTTTTAGATAATATGGAATATAGGAAAGTTGTTCAAAAGGAATTCCTGTTCCAAACCATATCGAATGGAGCCTTCAGCGTCGACACTTTCTTCTTTACCTCGGGGCTTTTGGTCTCATTCCTGTACTTCAGGACGAACGCCAAAGGTAAATTGGATACGTTGGGTAATAAAGGTGTTCTCGCTGGGTTTCTGCACTTTTTCGGATTGATTCTCTACCGTTTCGCAAGGTATGTTTTTTTTGGATGATATAACATTCAGTTCGTGCTAATTAGGTTTTGGTTTTAGGTTGAGCGCTCCGTACTTGTTCGCGTTGGGAGTCGTCGAAGTCTCCATGAAATGGTTCAATTCCAATTCGATCTTCGAACCGCCGACGATGGACCACGAAACCTGTCCCAAGTACTGGTGGAGAAACATACTTTATATCAACACGCTTTTCCCAGTTGAGCAAATGGTAATTGATTTTTTAGATTGTAGTAAGCTTGTATCCTAAGTACTTGCAATTATTGATTAGTTGTAATTAACAAAATTGTTGATTTCTGATTGTTTTAGTGCATGCTTTGGAGTTGGTACTTGTCTGATGATACACAATTTTACGTTGTTGGAGCGATTCTCTTGATTTTGGCAACAAGGTGAGTTAATTTACTTGAAAATGTTATAGTGATTGATTGCAATTTTTTTTTTCCAGTCATTTTAAGATTGCTGCTTCTTTGGTGATCATCTTCATGACGAGTTCTTGGGCCACGACCGGTTACATCGCATTCAGCAACAGCCATCTACCAAGTTCGGATGATCCTCTCGCGCTCTTCGACAAGATTTACGACAAACCGTACACTAGGTTGGGACCGTACCTGATCGGAATGGGAGTCGGCTGGATCCTGTTCAAGACCAACTGCCGGATCAAGATGTCCAAGGTAAGAGATGCGTAGGAGATGGATGGAAACATTTATAAAAATCCTTCCATATTTATTTATAGTTGGCCGTCGTCGTCGGATGGCTCGTCTCCGCCGGATGTTTGCTGTCTTTGGTGTACGGATTGTACGAGGCAGATTTATCCCCTGTCGCCGGTGCGGCTTACAGCAGTTTGAGCCACTCGGCGTGGGCTCTGGGTTTGGCCTGGGTGGTCGTCGCGTGCTCGACCGGTTACGGGGGTTACGTGAATTCCATCCTCTCCGCGACGATCCTCTACCCGTTCAGCAGAGTCACCTACTGCGCCTACCTGCTCCATCCGATCGTCATCAGGGTCATGGCCATGAACATGGACAGCCCTCTGCATCTCGGCAAAGAGGTGATGGTCATCCTGTTCTTGGGGCAGGTCGTCGCTTCGTATGCGCTCGGTTTCATCGTTTCCGTCGCCTTCGAAGCGCCCGTCGTCTCGATGCTGAGGATCCTCACGAGAATAGCGCCCAAACGAAAGACTGCCCTCCAAACGTAGTTACGCAACGTTAGTTTAGATCAAGTGTGCATGCGAGCGTGAAACAATTGAATAGAAATAGATGAAGAAAAAAAAAAGAGAGAGAGTGCGAGCGAGTGTAAATACAATTAACCCCTAATTTTATACGTACTTTTAATGGTTTGGTTATTTTATTCTGTGATCAATTTTTATTTCTAGACCAACAGTTTTTCTTTTTCAAAAACATATTTTTTAATTTATTTGCTACAAAAAAAAAAAGAAGAAACACATGTTATTATATTAATTATATAAATAAACACTTTCCTTTAATTTCTATTAGTTTATCTTTGTTAATATAAAAACAAAATATGACATATGTCATTTTGACATAATCAAAATGACATTGACATTTCGTTGTCACATTCAAAATTGACTTAAATCATGATTTAAGTTTTGATATATGTAATTATTTGATTACGTTAAGTTATTTTTATGAAATATCAAAGTGGCGTTGAAAAATTACTAAAAGACAAATAGACAATCTTAAAATGAGTGTTTTTAAATAAATAGTGTGAAAAACGTACACATTTGCTACAAAAAAAAAGAAACACATGTTATTATATTAATTATATAAATAAACACTTTCCTTTAATTTCTATTAGTTTTTCTTTGTTAATATAAAAACAAAATATGACATATGTCATTTTGACATAATCAAAATGACATTGACATTTCATTGTCACATTCAAAATTGACTTAAATCATGATTTAAATTTTGATTTATGTAATTATTTGATTACGTTAAGTTATTTTTTATGAAACATCAAAGTGGCGTTGAAAAATTACTAAAAGACAAATAGACAATCTTAAAATGAGTGGTTTTCAAATAAATAGTGTGAAAAACGTACACATTTGCTACGAAAAAAAAAAAGAAACACATGTTGTTATATTAATTATATAAATAAACACTTTCCTTAAATTTCTATTAGTTTTTCTTTGTTAATTGAGGGAATGTAATTGAAAGAAAACGAAACGTTTTATGATTTTATTTATTACATAATCGCACACTTATTACAATGTAGAACACGGATTTTAGTACGCAATGTACTCTACGTAGATAATCGAAGATTCTGTAGTCGTTTACAATGAGAACAAAAGGGGATTAAGTAGATTCGTTTTCCTTTTTGTAAGTTAAGATTTATATTGTCTCTGAAGAGGATATGTAATAATTCATCAACGGTGACCTAATTAAAAAAAAGAACAAAATATGACATATGACATAATCAAAATGACATTGACATTTCATTGTCACATTCAAAATTGACAATCATGATTTATGTAATTATTTGATTACGTTAAGTTATTTTTATGAAATATCAAAGTGGCGTTGAAAAATTACTAAAAGACGAATAGACAATCTTAAAATGAGTGGTTTTCAAATAAATAGTGTGAAAAACGTACACATTTGCTACAAAAAAAAAAAGAAACACATGTTATTATATTAATTATATAAATAAACACTTTCCTTAAATTTCTATTAGTTTTTCTTTGTTAATGAAGGGAATGTAATTGAAAGAAAACGAAACGTTTTATGATTTTATTTATTACATAATCACACACTTATTACAATGTAGAACACGGATTTTAGTACGCGATGTACTCTACGTAGATAATCGAAGATTCTGTAGTCGTTTACAATGAGAAGAAAAGGGGATTAAGTAGATTCGTTTTCCTTTTTGTAAGTTAAGATTTATATTGTCTCTGAAGAGGATATGTAATCATTCATCAACGTTGACCTAATTAAAAAAGAACAAAATATGACATATGTCATTTTGACATAATCAAAATGACATTGACATTTCATTGTCACATTCAAAATTGACAATCATGATTTATGTAATTATTTGATTACGTTAAGTTATTTTTATTAAATATCAAAGTGGCGTTGAAAAATTACTAAAAGACGAATAGACAATCTTAAAATGAGTGGTTTTCAAATAAATAGTGTGAAAAACGTACACATTTGCTACAAAAAAAAAAAGAAACACATGTTATTATTTTAATTATATAAATAAACACTTTCCTTAATTTTCTATTAGTTTTTCTTTGTTAATTAAGGGAATGTAATTGAAAGAAAACGATACGTTTTATGATTTTATTTATTACATAATCGCACACTTATTACAATGTAGAACACGGATTTTAGTACGCGAAGTACTCTACGTAGATAATCGAAGATTCTGTAGTCGTTTACAATGAGAACAAAAGGGGATTAAGTAGATTCGTTTGCCTTTTGTAAGTTAAGATTTATATTGTCTCTGAAGAGGATATGTAACTTTCTTATATAGATTTTTTTTATTATATATATTCACTCTTAAATACATTCTACTACGGAACATCTACTTCGTCTTTATTTAGTATAAGTAGCGGAGATAAATACAGTAAGAAATTTGATAAAATGCCGTGCACAAGCCGCGTACACCAATTGGAGAGTATTAATTAATATTATCATAATAATAATGCATATCTTTATGGGCGAGTCGGTTAAAACGAGGTCTTGCCGAAGATGTAGTTGCCCGGTTCGGAGATGTTTTCCGACATGAAGAACTGCTTCCAGAGCTCGACGAATTGCTCGTAACTCACCTCCTTCTTACCCTACAGCATACAATAGTTAAATGTAATTGAATTGAATTGTTGTTAATAAGAGACATACTTGAGCCATCTTGTGGAAGGCCTCCTTGCATTCGCCGATTTCGAGGCCGTAGCAGGAGCAGACGCTCGTGAACTCGTCGATGTCGATGCTTCCGTCGCCGCTCGCATCCTCCAGATCGAACATGAACCTGAGGTACTGGGTCTGCCAGTCCAGAGCGTTCTCAGGATTCTTGGCGTATTCGTCCCACATAGAAGACCATTCATCAACGCTAACCTAATTAAAAAAAACAACAAAATATGACATATGTCATTTTGACATAGTCAAAATGACATTGACATTTCATTGTCACATTCAAAATTGACAATCATGATTTAAATTTTGATTTATGTAATTGGAAAATAATTAACAATAATAATTAATTATTTGATTACGATGATTGGTTATTTGATTAAAATGAGTGGTTTCCAAATAAATTGTGTGAAAAACGTAAGAAAATATGATTAATTAGTTCGTGTTTGAATTAAGATATATTTTCAGTGTTAATTGCTTTGTAATGATTTGACCAATAACAAATGTCAATGTGACAAGTGTCAAAATGACAATGGAAAAGTGCGGTTATTTAATTAATAACTTTTGAATTGCTTAATAGTTATTAATGAAACATTGAAGTATTTTAATTACTTATAGAAATAATGAAAAGAATTATTAAATTTGAATTAGAAAATAAAATTGAATGAAAAATGTGTTCATAACTGACAATTAAACATTTTGTTTTTTTTTTGTTGTTGTTGACACGACTAAGATTGATTCATATATGCACGGCACTCTAATGAAATATGTTAATGATGAAATGCGTTACTTGTCCGTCCTTGTTGGAGTCGGCCCTCTGCCTGAGTCCATCCCAGATTTGGATCATGCTGTCGAAGGTCTTGATGTAGGGAGCGCTACCAGCCTTCCAACCCCTCAACGTGCAGATTTTCTTCAAAATCCATTAATTAATTTGTGCGAAAAGACAAAACGCGACATGATCCTCTTACCTCGATGGCCAACTCGAAGTCCTTCCTGTCGATGGTGCCGCTCTGATTGACGTCTGCGGAAAAGTCACATGAATCTTAGACTTGACGGTATTTTCAGCTTACCGTTCGCCGTGTGGCAAATGGTAAAGAATGGGGGAGCGATTTCGGGGCGATTTATTAGTTTGTGAAGGGCGGAGCGCAGTAGTTAATAAATCTTTCGATCTGGATTATCGTGCGTGAGGCTGATAAATTCCTTTATCTCTTTGGCACGACCTGCTTCCACACACAAACAATTGAGTTATGTAAATTGATGGTGGTCGTAATGATATAATTAGCGATTTAGGAATTTATTATTTGATATGTGGTTGTGCCGAATGGAATTGGACGAGGCGGTTTTCGGCTGTGGTTTTCGAGGGTTCCATCTAATAACGTCCGTCCGTCCATTTCACCCCCTTATTAATATCGGTCCAACTTTGCCCGAGTTGCAATTATAATGCGGTATGCTTCAGGAACAGGAAATCCCTGGTCCCCCCGTTTTAATGGACTTCTTGCATTAATTCCATAACTAACTTGATTAACTCTACCACACACCATTATACTGACGCACGCTGTTAATCTTACATTTAAGACCCAAATCCAGAAAAAAAGAGAAAATTGTAACAAACCCTCATAAATATATGTATAAACTTGCCTAAATTCTGCTTAAAATGCACCATTTACAACTTCTGATTACTGTCAAATATAAAAATGACACATCAATGACATATGACATGCGATTGCTGTCAAGTATAATAATAATTTATGTAATGATTCCATAACTAACTTGATTAATCCTACCATACATCATTATACTGACGCACGCTGTTAATCTTACTTTTAAGACTCAAATCCAGAAGAAAAAGAGAATTGTAGTAAACGCTCATAAAAGACAACATTATCAGAATCTACACTTAACAAATACTTAGTAAATATCTAAACATTTTAATTGTTTATGTATAAATTTGCTTAAATTCTGCTTAAAATGCACCATTTACAACTTCTGATTACAGTCAAATATAAAAATGACACATCAATGACATATGACATGCGATTGCTGTCAAATATAATAATGATTTATGTAATGATTCCATAACTAACTTGATTAACCCTACCACACATCATTATAGTGACGCACCCTGTTAATCTTACTTTTAAGACCCAAATCCAGAAGAAAAAGAGAATTGTAATAAACGCGCATAAAAGAAAACATTATCAGAATCTACACTCAACAAAGACTTAGTAAATATCTAAACATTTTAATTGTTTATGTATAAACTCGCCTAAATTCTGCTTAAAATGAATCATTTACAACTTCTGATTACTGTCAAATATAAAAATGACACATCAATGACATATGACATCCGATTGCTGTCAAGTATAAATAATTATTTGATTACGATAAGTTTTTATTATGAAATATCAAAGTGGCGTTGAAAAATTACTAAAAGACAAATAGACAATCTTAAAATGAGTGGTTTCGATATGTCAATAATTAATAATAGTGTGAAAAACGTAAATAAATACGATTAATTAATTTGTAATTGAATTAAGATACGTTTTCAGTGTTAATTGCTTTGTAATGATTTGAATAGTAACAAATGTCAATGTGACAAGTGACAAAATGACATCGGAAAAGTGCAAATGACATTGGAAATGATTCCATAACTAACTTGATTAACCCTACCATACACCATTATACTGATGCACGCTGTTAATATTACTTTTAAGACTCAAATCAAGAAAAAAAAAAGAGAATTTTAACAAATTGTAATAAAAGAAAACATTATCAGAATCTACACACAACAAATACTTAGTAAATATCTTAGTAATTGTTTATTTATAAAATAGTCAAACATAAAATTGACACATCAATGACATGTCACATCCGATTGCTGTCAAATATAAACAAACTTGTATAAAGTTTTGTTCATTTGTTTTGTTTAACTAGTCTTATTTATTTTTCCCAAATATTAATTAAACACTCATTCAATAAAACTTTCCCGCACTCTGTGATCTCAGCAAACAAAACTCTCTCCCTCTCTCATCGTATTTACTATAAAATATTGCGCATCATATTATATTCCAACGAACTTTCCACGTTTGTAAACTTTTCAGCTCGTTATAAATGCAAGCAAACTTATTCATGGCAACGATTTTGCAGCTTTTTTTATCTAATTATCTGTTAAATAAAATAATGAAAATGTTTATTCAGTGACTTAAGTCAGTTTTCTTGTTGTCTTGTCTTCAGAAATTAAAAAAAAATGATTATTTTTTATTAAAATCAAGAATTTCATGAATTGCTGTCAAATATGACAGTGACAGATTTTAGTCTCTTCAATTACAAACAAAAAAATAATAAGTATGACTTTTTCTTTCTTTCTTTCTAATATTTAATCTTCACTAACGATCTCTTCGTAATCGTAATCATTCGTTATTTATGTAACCATTATCCACAACACAACAGTTGTTGTTGTTCGACTGCTTCTGTACTCGTGCGAGCAACAAGAACAATAATGCAAGACAAATAGAGAATCTTAAAATGAGTGATTTTCAAATAAATAGTGTGAAAAACGTAAGTAAATATGATTAATTAGTTCGTGATTGAATTAAGAGAAGAAATGTCAATGTGACAAGTGTCAAAATGACAATGGAAAAGTGCGGTTATTGAATTAATAACTATTGAATTGCTTAGACGTTATTAATAAAACATTGAAGTATTTTAATTACTTATAGAAATAATGAAAATAATTATTAAATTTGAATTAGAAATTAAAGCTGACTGAAAAATGTGTTCATAACTGACAATTAAACATTTTGTTTTTTTTTGTTGTTGTTTCCATGAATTGCTGTCAAATATGACAGTGACAGATTTTCGTCTCTCCAATTACAAAACAAAAAACAATAAGTATACGTTGAATAACTTTTTCTTTCAGTCTGCAAACAATACATAATAAATAAGACACATGTAGAGATTAATAGAGTGTGTGTGTTTCGGTTGCAAGCTTCTAATATTTCATCTTCACTAACGATCTCTTCGTAATCGTAATCATTCGTTATTCATATAACCATTATCCGCAACACAACAGCTGTTGTTGTTCGACTGCGTCTGTCCTCGTGCGAGCAACAAGGACAAGAATGCATTTATTTTCCCCGGTCGCAGCGACTCCTGGCATCTCTCCAATCCATTTAAAATTCCTTGATAGCACTTTCGTGCATTGCCTCCAATCATTCATCACAATACTATCTCTATCTCTCTCCTCCTTTTCGATGAAACCCAGTGACTTGCAGTCTCTCTCTCTCTGTCAAATTCTGCGACAATCGAGTGTGCAATGGATGTTTTATACAATATTTAATTCCAAAAGTAAACTTTTGATTTAGAACTTAATTTTTCAAATGGATTTGTATGAAAATCTCTCTGAAATGTCTGATTATTCAGTTAAATTTGGATAAAATCGAGCGCAATTAACTTTAATGCTTTCGATATTCTTTTGTAAAGTAATTTTATCGATTCCTGCAAAGTTTTAAACTGTTTCTTTTAAACTTGAACTTAGGAAGTGGCTAAGAAGTGCTTTTTTATGGATTTGAAAGACTCGTCAATCATATTTACGAGCTCGATAAAAGCACTTTGGATATGAGTACTCACCGAAGAAGACATTGAAGACGTAGAGGAGCTTCTTCTTGCGGAAATCGGAGATGGGCATCTTTCGAAACGGTTCTGCAAAAGAATACATTTGAAATGAAATAACGTAGTTTTCGCAGATGGATGAGATCATGCGGAGGAATTTAATATAACTGCACATTTATAATAAGTCGTTTTTCATTTCGCATTTGCAATAAACCTTTGGGGACGAAATGGTAAAAGGTAATCTCTTATTTTTCGTTTGGAAATGCGAGTGTTGAAGGGAAGAGATGTGAAGATTTCCTCACGTTTTGGCTTCAATTAAAGTTTGCTGTTGTTAATTAGTGCATTTCCATTCAAATGGGTTTCGGCTTAATGAGACCGCTCCGGGTTTTATTAAAGAGCCGATTATGAATTTTCGGCGGATCCCGGCTAATTGGCGAGATCGGATTAAGATGGAAATTTTTGGCGAATTGTCTCTTCGCTCCGGTTTATTTTAATTCAAGTCGCTTTACTTGTTTTTCTGGTTGTGATTTGTATGTGATTGGACCGAAGCTTGGATTACGTAAAATAATGCTGATGTTGATGATGATGGGAAGAGAGAGAGAGAGAGAACTTAGGAGACTTTGAGGAAATCGATGCTTGTTTCTAAGGGTGCTGGCATCTAAAAGCCATCAGCGCAGATGAGCGGAACGTATTGAATTTTGTTCAGGCGAGAGACGTTCGTGGTTTAAATATAATATCAGCTTTTTGTATGCAAACAAGTAAAGGCTTAAATTGAAAAAAAAACACACGTTGGATGTGAACATCTTTTGGTTACAAACATTCTATAGTAAATTGTAAAACTCATCCACTTTGATCAGTGCGAAAACCACAACAATTTTAAAAGAAATCTACAAGGAATTTCTCAATTGAAATTGTTAAAGGAAAAAAAACATAATGTGTTTCATTTTTTCAATTTATACAGCTCATAGCAGGCGACTCAATGATAGAAAAAAGATGAATGTAGGCTTGTTGGAAAGGAGAAATATTCAGCTTTCATACGAGTGGTCGATGATGTAATTACCTTAAGGGGTTGTTGAGATATTAACGAAAAACTATAACAACTGAAAAAAATACAAAAAAAAACGTTCTACAGCTTATAACAGACGACTCGATGACAGCACAAAGATGAGTATAGGCGCGTTGGAAAGGTGAGATATTCAGCTTTCATACGAGTGGTCTATGATTTAATTACCTTTAGGGGTTGTCGAGAAATTCACGAAAAACCAAAAACAGTGAAAATAAAACGAGAAAACCGTAATTTCTCTGTTACGTATAAAACGTCAAGTATGTGTATTTTTTTTCAATTTCTAAAGCTCATAACAGGCGACTCGATAATAGCACTAAGATGTATGTAGGCTTGTTGGAAAGACAAAATATTCAGCTTTCATACGAGTGGTCGATGATGTAACTATCTTTAGGATTTGTTGAGAAAATCACGAAAAACTGTAAAAACTGAATAAAAAACGAGAAAAAAATATTCTTCAGCTTATAACAGGCGACTTGATATAACTACAAAGATGTATGTAGGCGTGTTGGAAAGGTGAGATCTTCAGCTTTCATACGAGTGGTCGATGATGAAATTACCTTTAGGGGTTGTCGAGAAATTAACGAAAAACCGAAAACACTGAAAAAAAAACGAGAAAACCGTCGTTTCTGTGTTGCGTATAAAACGTTAAGTATGTGTTTTTTTTTTAAATTTAAACAGCTCATAGCAGGCGACTCGATGACAGTACGAAGATGTATGTAGGCTTGTTGGAAAGACAAAATATTCAGCTTTCATACGAGTGGTCGATGATGTAACTATCTTAAAGATTTGTCGAGAAAATCACGAAAAACTGTGAAAACTGAATAAAAAGCGAGAAAGAAATGTTCTTCAGCTTATAACAGGCGACTCGATGAAACTACAATGATGTATGTAGGCTTGTTGGAAAGGTGAGATATTCATCTTTCATACGAGTGGTCGATGATGTAATTATGTTGAAAAACTATAAACTATACCTTCAATAATAAATTATAAAACTCACACTTTGATCAATTCATAACAAATTTTCCTATAAATCTCTAAGAACTATGATAAATCAGAATACTTAGCAACATTCAAGCGTCCTTAGCAACTCACTATTTACGATTTCAATGTTTAACAACAATTTCAACAACAACTTTTTAAATATTATTTTATCAATGTATTTATAAAGGAAAGGAGTCTTTGCTTGTGATTAATTGATTCAAATTAAGCTAATGGACAACATTTTCGCGCGCGCAATTAATCTTTCAAAAATACGTCAAAGTGACAAGTTTAATTTAATAGAAAAAAATGACAAGCAGGCCTTCTAATATATATATATATATATTCATTATTAATTACTTTCGCAAATACTTCAAATTTAAAGAAAAATCACTGTTAAATCCCTCTGGAATCTCATTATGAAGATATGAAATTGCGAATAAGAATCTAGCGCAGTTTATCCGTTCGCAAAATGACTGTTATTGCGGCGCATTTTATTATCATTTGCTGTTCTTTGGCGGCTTTTTCATATTCCTCTAGAGGGATTGAAGACGTTAGAGGTGTTTCGAGGATAATAAAATTTTAATAAAATGTGTATTTATAGTCGCGACCCGGAATGAAAAGTAATCTGCTTGGATGGACTACGAAGAAAGAAAAACCCAACCTAAAGGAAATCCCCGTACATTTTCTATTTCGATATAGATACGAGGAAAATATGGCACTTTCCATCTAAACTTTGATGGTCAGAAGAGAAAAAGGATGAGCATAAAAAGGGGGATGATGATAGAACGAAATGTGAAAGGGTAAAATGTAAGGATAAAAACGGGGACGCTTGGATGGAAGGAAGGAAGGAAAAGGTAAATATTATCTTGCCGCCTCGAGCCTAAAGCTATTTATCAAATGTAATTAACTGCATTCCCAGAGGGTGCTAGTTAGCATTCCTAGCGTACGCACACATTTAATTAACTCCAGATCAATAAATAAGTCAAGTTCAAATAAGCTCATGAATTGATAGATCAAAGACTTTCCTCCATTCGAACTCATTGATATCATCGGGAGGAAATGGATGGAAATGAAGGAAATTAAATGAAAAAAAGAAGTGATTTCGAAGCGTTTCGGTTCGGAATGAAGGCTTATTAAAATCGTATCGCTGCTCTCTCAGACTTAATATTCGCGCCAGAAGCAATTAAGAAACTTTAAGTGGGCGCGCTGAATCATGTTACTTCTGATTTTCCTGAAAGCTGGCTGAAAACTTTTCCTCGATTCACGTGTGAATAATGATGGATTATCCAATTACTAAAATACAACGGACAAATTTCTCAATTTAACATTTGCAGTATCTAAATTTTAAATGACATTAACATCTGCCATTTGCGTCATCCGTCACGTGTGTCTTGATTTGAATCACGTAACGCTTATTTGGTTTTAAAAATATTTAAAGAAAATTAAAGTTTCGCGATTCACGTGTGGATAAGAATTATGATGATGGATTATCCAATTACTAAATACAATCGACAATATAGTTTTACAATTCATCAGCACAAATTTCAATCGATATTTCTCAATTTAACATTTGCAATATCTAAATTTTAAATGACATTGACATCTGTCATTTGTGTGAGTCCACGAGTTGTCACAAATGACATTTCACGTGTCTCTTGATTTGAATCACGTAACGCTTATTTGGTTTTAAAAATATTTAAAGAAAATGAAAGTTTTTCGATTTACGTGTGAATAATGATGGATTATCCAATTACTAAATACAACCGATAATATAGTTTTACAATTCATCAGCACAAATTTCAATCGATATTTCTCAATTTAAAATTTGCAATATCTAAATTTTAAATGACATTGACATCTGTCATTTCGTAAGTCCACGAGCTGTCACAAATGACATTTCACATATCTCTTGATTTAAATCACGTTACGCTTATTTAGTTTTAAAATTATTTAACGAAAATTAAAGTTTCGCGATTCACGTGTGGATAAGAATTATGATGATGGATTATCCAATTACTAAATACAACCGACATTATAGTTTTACGATTCGTCGGCACAAATTTCTTAATTTGACATTTGCTATATCTAAATTTTAATTGAAATTAACATCTGTCATTTGCGTCATCTGTCATTTCACGTGTCTCTTGATTTGAATCACGTAACGCTTATTTGATTTTAAAATTATTTAAAGAAAATCAAAAAAGACGATTATTTATCAAATTCCTTACTTTTTGCATTATTATGAAATTCTTTATATACAAAGGAAAAACTGCATATTTTTTTTTACGGAATGCTGTTAAAGTTTAAGGGTGGCGGTGGAATGTATCGATTCGGTATTAACCTGCAAATTTCAACAAAAACAAACAAAAACATATGCAAACATCAAACAAAACTACAACAACAAAAATAACAACAAAAAACAAAAAAATAAAGCTGTCAGGAAAAGAGGAATAAATAGAATGCCGAAATGCAGTAGACTAGATAAAATGTAAAATATGAAACTCGGAAGCTGTCAGTTTCGGTATCTATCGCTGCTCACTAGATAAACTTTACGCTCGATTCATATTTAATGCCATGTAAAACTGACGTTTGCATTTTAGATTCATGCATAATGGAAAATTCGGTAATTGATAGAAAATATAATAAAATTTCTATAAATTTATTTTAAAGTTTTATATTTACTTTTTTTATTATTTACCAATACATTATTTATTGGAAAGGGCGACTACTCAAGCGCTAGTCGATCATAAAAAAGTTTATGTCAAGTCGTATATTAGAAATATTTAATAACGCAACGTGAGGGCGAAATATACGGTTTTTTTTTATGTACAAATCGATGAGGGGAAACATAAAACATCATTAGTTCGTTACAAAGTTTAGAATTTTCAATTACCATAATTAATTAAGTATTAAATATTCTATAAAAGTATACTAAATTTTTATATTTTCCTTGAAATGCACACATTTTATTCTAAAAGATGAAATAAAAGTTGATCCTGTCAACGATTATGGTTACTGTTTTGTTGTCTGTTCCAAATTGAGT